ACCTGCGCCAAACTCAGGGGGACGATCCCCATCCCTCCAAAAGCAGCTGGACGCAGAGAGAAGGCAACGGGTGCTGTGCCATGTTTTTTTGTAGCTAACTAAAGGCAGCTTTAAAAAAAACCCAGACAACATCCACCGATTCTGAATTTCAGAAAAAAAGTGCAACGGCTTCCAATGCCCGAATGGCACTTGCATCCCAACCAGCAAACACTGCGACGGCATCAACGACTGCTCCGACGCCTCGGACGAGCAGCACTGCGGTGAGTACCGGGGCCGTGGGGAGCTGGCAGGGCGCCGGCCGCGAGGGTTGGCAGCCTTCACAGTCTGCCAAAGCCTGTCTTGCTGGGAGAACAGCCCCGGTGAGATAACGGGAAAGCCTTAGTTAGCGTTCACGAGCCCCTTGGGAAATGGGCTGGTCTGCGAGCGTCAGCCAAGGGCGCAGTAGGCAGGGCTGTGAGGGACGGGGAGGGCGTGCTGTGGGGAGCTGTGTTCAGGGAGGTGACCAGACCCTTCCTGGCGCCTGCGCAGGGACAGAGCTCGACCCATTTGTCCGGGAAACTTTCTATAACTTCCTAGAATCCGGCCGCTGCGCTTGGGTCTGTGCAGTATCGCGGCAGGTGGCGTTCCCGCTGCCAAGGACAGCAGAGGTGCCAACTCCTCCCCTCCCGACCTCCCATTTCTCCAGAACCCCTGTGCACCCGCTACATGGATTTCGTGTGCAAGAACCGGCAGCAGTGCTTGTTCCACTCCATGGTGTGCGACGGCATCATCCAGTGTCGAGACGGATCGGATGAGGATTCCAACTATGCTGGCTGCTGTAAGTGTGATATTGCACATCGTTGCAAAAAGAGGGTTGGACAGAGAATGACACCAGAGACACGGAGAGGAGAGTGCATTCCCCAGGGGACCGGAAAGCTGCCAGGTCTCCTGAGAAGGTGGCTCTGGACTATAACGCTCTGCTTCTAAATCCATGACTGCCTGAGTGTGCTCCGTCCTTCCTCCTCAATGGTGAGCTTCCCCCAAACCCTTGGTCTTTACGCTAAAACTCTGATGTCTCTCCGTGCCACCCCTGCAGCCCAGGACCCCGAGTTCCACCGGACCTGCGACCAGTTCAGCTTCCAGTGCCAGAACGGCGTGTGCATCAGCCTGGTGTGGAAGTGCGATGGGATGGATGACTGTGGCGATTACTCTGACGAAGCAAACTGTGGTGAGTGAGCGCTACCTCAGGGTCTCTTGTCACCGTAGCTCCAGCCTCCTTTGAATTTCAGGAGCATGCCCTCTTCTTTATGTTTTGTATATGCACTCATGCGCGTATGTGTGTACATACCACGTGCATGCGTAGCGTTCCACCTGCACATTGCAGAGTGCCTTACATGGAGATCGGTGTCATTGTCATATTGTAAGCGGGTACACTGAAGCACGCTGACAATCCTATACGGCTGGCACATCTCGTGGTTGACGAAGTCGTACGTGACCATATTTACTCCACAGATTCCCAGCCCAGAGCAGACAGGCAATTTTCAGCCAAACTCAATATTTACCACTGTTCCCTCGGTAGCTGTAGGAGCTGTAGCCAGCCAGACGAAGGAGCTGCATCTTCATTTCAGAGTTGCAGGGTTTGCGTCGCCGTTTCTGCCGTGCTCTGTCTGAACTTTGCCATCAGCTCTGGTTCTCAGATCACAGGCGGTGTCTGGCGATGGAGCACCCGGCACGCAGATGTAATAGCAGTGGGAACAAGCTAGTGAGGGCTGCAAGGAATGGGGATGCTGGAGAAGAAGACAAAGGGCCCTGCCTGTGCTGCTCGGGGGAACAGATAGCCGTAGCCTGGCCAGAGGTGCTCCCCTACCTCAGCCGCACTCAAGACTGGCGAGGTAACTCTGGGGCTCGTGGGACTCTTCTCTCGTTGTCAGAAAACCCCACAGAGGCTCCTAACTGCTCCCGGTACTACCAGTTCCAGTGCGGGAACGGGCACTGCATCCCCAACCGATGGAAGTGCGACAAGGAGAACGACTGCGGGGACTGGTCCGATGAGAAGGAGTGCGAGGGTAAGGGTGCTCGGCGCTCTGCTTGCAGGAGCCCTGGCCGAGGCTGGGCCGCGGCGCACCGAAGGGCCGCTCTCAGCATCAGCTGCCTCCCCGCAGGGCTGCTTGGGGACAGCCTGCGCCAGCCCCCGTGGCTCCAAAAACCCACCGTGGGCCCTTCCCCGCCCCCCGCTCCCCTCCGCTGGCAGCGGCTGTCGGACTGCTGGGAGCAGGCGCAGCTTACAGCCCGCGCGCAGGCGACCGGCGCTCCATCCGGCTGCAAACGGTGCATTTTTAGGTTCTCCGGTGCATCCCATCACTACGTCCATCCCACCGACGTGTCTGCCCAACCACTTCCGCTGCAACAGCGGTGCCTGCATCACGAACAGCTGGGTCTGCGACGGGTACAAGGACTGCGCCGACGGCTCCGACGAGGAAGCCTGCCCCACCTCGCGTAAGCTTCGCTCTTCCTCGCCCCTTTTTCGGTAGGGTCACACCTGCAAGGCCTTCCGCTCTCCGAGCCTTGCCGGGTTAGAGGGTTAAATCACGCCCGGGGGTCAGAGCCCACCGCCTCCTCTCTCCCTGGGGTCGGAGCTTCCGCGGCGGGACGGGGTCCGGAGGGCCC